TTCGTTCGGGACTAACTTTATAGCAGTATTATTGTTACAGCACCAAAATCATAACAATTATATTGTTAATTTATTATACATGTTTAGATTACATGAATGTAATGTACAATATTTATATATTATCGATTGTTACACGTTATATTTTTCGATTGTTTAAGTGTAATAACATTACATTGTTATACGTTATAGAATATAAACTGCAGATACATATGGTAATAAATATTATCTCGAATTGAATTAATGATTACATTAAAAAAATATGCTACTTCCACATTTATATTATTATGTAGATATAAGCAAATGAGCTTAAAAAATATTATTAAGTATCACAGATGGATCTAAAAAGGTGATTAATACGTTGTGAAATACTAAAAAAGGTAAATTTTTGTAAATTTAATAAACTAATAATGAAAATACTTAATTAATTTTGTGCCAAAAAGTATTTAGTATTTTTTTAAAATTATATTCCATAAATATACATATTGCATAGGATACAATATTTTAATTTATATTTATTTGTGTGATACGGTCAAGGTTTATAAAACAAATCTGAAAACTTCTTAATTCAATGTTAAAATTTAAAATCAAACATGTTAAAAATAAGTAAAATATTTTATTATTTTATGTTTAGAGCAGGAAATTTATAAAAATTTTTGACATCAATAAAAAATGTAAGACTATAGTCTATACTATAGAATATATTAATATGGAATCAGATGTTATATTGTTATAATGTAATCCATAAGATCTATTTTAATTAAGATTTATGATTTTTGAACAAGACTATATATGCTCTAGTTAATTTTAATTAACTAAGATTAATATATGTCGTTATTATATTTGAATAAGTTAAATTACATAAATACGATGAAATATTTGTTTAAGTCATAAAAATAATTATTTTTATCTAATTTTTAACAAAAAATAAGTACTTTAAAATAATTTATTAAAACTAAAACAAGTTGTACTAAACATAGTGTTCAAATACGGAAATGCTAAATTCAAAATCATAAATATTATAAAAAGTACAAAATGACTGAACAATGAGTAACATTTTTATCAATTTTTTATTTAAATATTTTTATATTTTCATAAAAATAAATGTTTATCCTTTAATTATGGGTTTAATATCCGTTGTCTGTACTTATTAGATATGCAAATATTCAAAATGATTCATTCAATGCGTTTTAGATTTATCTGCTTATCAGAATACTACTCTAACATATTTTGTTATCTATTTCAAACATACATTGAACATAGCGAAATTACAAATAGATTCAAAACCACGACATTTGTATTAATGTCATTTTTATTCAATAAAGTATAATACATCGTATTGTGATGTCAATTGTGAAGTTTTTTAAAAATAAAAATATTGTTTCTCTAATAACCAAATTTTTATAACTGGTTAATATTAACTTCCACACACTATTTGTAAATTAATTAATAACTACGTGGGTATTGTCGAACTTAAAAATGTAATGAAATACATATCAATAATGAGAAAAAAGTCCATAATATTGTAGGAAATTATACATATAATTTTATATACTCTTAAATTATAAGTAAATAATATGGGTATATGTATTAATAACCATAGGCATGATTTTGTTAAATTTTAATCGCAATATAAATGTATATTGATCGCATGCTTTTTAATTGCCCAGAAAAATGTATATGTATATGTATATATATATAATATATTATATATATATATATATATATATGTAAATTATTTGCAATTATTCACAATTTCTTTGTTAACAACATTTTTTACCGTCTGATCAGTCAATATTTTAAAATAAATTATTACCAAAACGTAGTTTAATGTTTTGTAAAATGATCATTGAATCATTAAAATTAAATAAATGGTGTAGACATTGAGGTTCAACTGAATAATCAGTTGATCAATAAAAATGACGGAGTAAATTGAGACTTAAAACTTTTATTTAGATTAAAAACGTCAAACCATGCAACATGTATAAGTTATTGTGATATCGAGAATATAGTATTACATTTAATATTATTACGGTAATAATTAAAATTAAAAAGCAGAAATATTACTAATAATGTTGCCGGGGTAGGTCGATTTTTTTTTGTACACAGCGAGTATTAAAAAAGCTTAAAAAAATACTTACTTAAAGTAATAGTAACGAATGCATCAATACGCATAACATACTCTCATGTTTATATTTAAATAACTACAACCACTGTATCATTTCAAATTGTACCAACTATATAAAAAAATTAATCGTTCATTGATGACTGTTACTATAAATAATGCATTCTGTTTATGTGGACACTAAACTTATTTTTCCACATTAAGTGGTTGGCTATATAAACCGAACTTGTTCAAAAACACCAACATTTTTAATATCTAAAAGCATTTATTTTGCATACGTAAATCATAAAATTGGAAAAAATATTAATAGATAAATTAATAGATAAATAAATATACAAAATAATAATGAATAATATAATCTCGGGATGCATAATTTTTCAGCGATTTTACGTTATTTATTTCCTGAAAAAGTATATTTCACATTATTCAAAATCTCCACTCTTTTCTTGTGGGACAAATATTTTTTAGACGTAGTTGAAAACGTTTACGATCGCATTGATATTCACAGTAAAACTGAAATAATTGTGGTCAAGTTAGGGAAAAACTAATATCACTTGATTTTTTTTATTTATTTTTTTTTTGTGTTGCTCTGAAAAACACTCAACACATTCAATTAAATTCACAAAAAAATCCCATTAAAGTTTTAACGTTAATGATTTTTATTATTATAGATTAATACAATATTATCGATACGAAGAAACTCAATTGTACTAATTCTTCATACATATTCCAATGCTATGATAACATAAATATTGCGTATATAGACGAAACATAGTTCTTATAATTTGAGTTTTTTTAATCTTATTAGTAGGGCTCGGATTTTGTAGCAAATGCTTCTTTTGAGGGGAGTGTGATAGAAAGAAAATTCTTATATATAAATACGTTTTGAATCGTTCTGATTTTAATGAAGTAAATTTTTTTTTTGCTTTTTTTTGTATGTCTTCTGTTTTTATTTGTATATTTGTATAAAATATTATGGTACAAAAAGTACAAAAAAGTTGAACACTATTGACTAAATATATTTATTAGTTGAAGTATAAAAATAATCATAATAATAATAATAATAAAAAGTATAAAAATAAAGTTGACCAACTCCCAGGTCCCTCGACTGGGTCTTTCTTGCTTATGGTTTCAGTATATTTTAAATTAATAACATGAGGTGTGCACTATATTAGTTGTAAATGTAAATATGATAAATATAATCATATATTATATCATATTTTAAACTTTTAAGATCCCAAAAATCCGCTATCTAGTCATAAGTATAACAAACATTCATACAAATATTTATAGTTTTTTGTCTTGAGTTGCTTTCTCTTTGTAATAATAATCAAATTTCGTAAACTATGTTTAAAATTATTATAAAACTGATTATCTTTAAAATACGATTATCTTTAAAATCTTCAGTTAACCAGAACGGTTAATGAGTTATACTCGTTAATTGTCCTTATGTGTTAAGTTTAATACCTACTACATCAATAATAATTTTCTTTTTGTTATATTTTATGTTTGTGTTAATTTTCTTGTAATTATTATTAATTAATATATTATATTAATAAATAATAATAATAAATTAAATTTTATAGATTTTATACATAAGTATTATTGAATAACTAATATATTGGAAACCAATAAAACATTTATACACGATATTTATCTGATGCTACAACTATTTCAACTAAATTAATATACATTTGAATTTAGTAATATATATTACGCTGTACAGAATTCGATTCAGGAGAGACAGTAACTCCTCTTCCCCATTTGTTGTATTAAAGTGTGTTATTTTATTTGTTGTGTATTCATTTGCAATATTTTGTGTTAATTTAATTTCTATTAAAAAAAAAAAAAAAATAATGAAAAAATAGTTTCAACTGTTTTAACAGAATACTTAAAACCACTGAAAATCAAGTAGCTAACTTGGGAATCTTAAGCAGAATTAACAACCCAACATAATCTAAAGTAATGCAAAATAGGGAAAATTCTCAATTTAAATATGCCGAAGAACATTTTAGAAAAAAGCTCTTTATTTATTTTCTTGATAATTTACTACATGATTTCGATTCTAAATTCGATAAACATTTAATATCAGTTTATGATCTGGACCTGGTACTGCATTAAAATTAATTTTCGATGAGAAATACAAATTAAAAAATAAAATAAAAATGTGATTAATCAATTTGGTAATTTAGTAACTTGTGAAATAAATATATCTATTTTTGAATCTAAATTAATTGGTAAATTTTAATTTTGGCATAATTATTGGTTACAAGACGAACAACTACCTTCATTGCCTTTAAAAACTCCCGAACGATATGACTCTGGTTATTTTTTTTTGGAATTTTAAAATTTAAAAATTTATTAAAAATACTTATCATGTTATCAGCTATAGGTGCAACAGCTGATAGGAATTTTTCATCACTACGGCGAATTTAAACATGGATATGGTTGAGTTTAGGACAAAGGAACAATTAAATGGACTGAGCTTATTACACATTTATTAAGATGTCTTTAAAAACCTCAATAAATTTTTAAATATATTTGTTCAATCTAATAGAAGATTAGACTTCTATATATTTATACTTATTCACACTAACCTGTTAACGTAAGCCAGATGCGCGCTTGGAACCGTATTTTATTTAAAAAATAAGTTAATATATATATATATATTCATTACAAAAATAAAAAATATAAAATGTATAAATCAAATATATTATGTTTACTTTCACTTAGAATTAGCGAAACGGTACGTAATAAAAGAAAATGTATGAAGTACACATTCAACTAAAATCAATTATCCATAGTTTAATACTCGCAAAACTAAAAAATTATATGTATTTACTTAACATGCCATCTAAATGATATTTTTAAATTTTAGATTCATCATGCTTCAACAGATTTTGAAAGACATGTACGTTGATCCAGAGCTGTTGGCTGAGTTGGACGAAGCACAAAAACAAACCCTGTTTTGTAGAATGCGAGAAGAACAAGTACGGCGTTGGAGTGAATGGGACAATGTTGAAAGCAGTAAATCCGCGAATCCAAAACGACCAAAAAATAAAATTCAATACAATCAGTTAATATATTAAAAAAATGTATTTATTTTTATACATATTCATTGAAATGATGATTTTGCAGTATAAAATAAAATATACTTTTAATATTTTAAATTGTAATATTTCAAGTTTTCAGTTTTTATTGAGCAACATATATTTTTAATTTCATATTCCAAAGCCATTTTTCCTTCTAACAACTTGTTATTTAAATCATTCCTTAAGCATAGAAATGTCAATGTACGGTTCAGGGTCAGACGTATCTGAAATAAATCTCATCCACATTAGAGTCATTCAGTGATCTGTAACAGCTCTTCTCTTATTTAATTTATACACCTCAGAACAATTAACAACTAATTACACAATCGTAGGTAATTTTGATAACGACAAAGCTATTTTGCCTCTTCATTCAGAACCTGAAACAGAATCAAACTTTATCCAATTATACTTAAACCTACTACAATCCTGACACAAGGAATGGAGAATCAAGATAAATTAATCAAAATCAACTCATTGAACTTTCACACTAAGACTAAAAAACTCCTCAGTCATAATGCTTAATAATCTATCCATCCCAGCCACTGAATATTTGCTATCTAGGTTTCCATCTGGATCGAATCACTCTTATTAACCGAACCCGACACTGCGACTCCACTTAACTTCTAAACACATACATTTAAATAATAAAATTCTTATTTATAAACTCCTCTTGAAACCTGTATGGTCATATGGTATATAACCCTGGATTTCAGCCTAACTTTAGAATAAAAACTAAATCAAAACGTTCCAATCTTAATGTCTTCATCAAATTACAAAAGCTCTTTTTTATTTCCCAAACGACACAATCCATAATTACCTATCTATTCCAACTTTTAAATCAATAACTAAAACTCTCAATAAATGTTTCAATGTTTTTACTTTAATCTATTCAACCATCACAATCCTCTTGTTTCATACCTATTTGTTCTCAACATCCCACGTCATCCCAGAAGACATTTGAAACGCAAATTATACTGGGACTTTTTAAATTATTAAAAATTGTCCACATTGTGATGAAGATCCATCACTGAATGGATTGTTTAATCTATACTATAATCCGACCACTATTTTTGCATCAATTATGTTCGTTTTAAAAATATAGATTGTATAAATATATTTATAAATTAAAAATATAAAATTAAAATATTCCAAAATTATAGCTTTACTTTTAAATAACACAGTAGTAGATAAATATTTGAAAGTTTACCAATTGCGCTTAAAAAGGAACTTTTCATATACCAGTTGCATTCTAAACATTTTAGGTCGATATACCAATTGCACTCTAAACATTTTAGGGTCGATTGACCAATTGCACTCAAACAATTTTACAATACCCAAGGAAAACTTATTAGTTAGTTATAATTATATAATAAATTAAGACACCGATTTCGGTTCGAATATAAATACTTAATATAATATAAATAAATGAATAATTTTTTTTTCTTCACATTGAACAAGTTACATTTTGATCGTCGATTATTCAAAATTAAGTTATATTTTAAATATAATATAAATAAATTCAATTTTAAAGTTATACTAGTTTATAATTTATAGTACATACTAATTCACATTTAAACTTTTTTACAATAATAAATCAATTTTATAACCATTATTTTCGTATCTAAGATAGGGAAGCAAATTTAAATAGCACAATTGGTACATTGACCCTAAACAAAGAATCTTTTTAGGCGCAACTGGTCCATGCCCAAATATTTATATCGGTATTTAAAGTTTAAATGAGCGAAATGCCTTAAAAATATATAATATATATATAAAAATATATAATAAAGAAAATGTTTTTAGATAAATTATACTCAACTAATTAAAACTTTAAATGCGTATGAATCATAATAACTTAAAATTGTCACACAGTATCCTCCCTTGGAATATAAATTGAAAAATATTTCTATTAAAAAAAATTAAAATTGAAAAAAATACCAAAATAAAATAAAATATACATCTCATACGTAAATCGGTAATTTCAATTTACTGGATTTTTTTCAGATAAAAAAAAAGTACAATGGATGATGGATGCAAATGGTAACCCTTGGACATGGGTCATGGGTGAGCATAAAGATGATAAGACTATTGAACAAATAATTGAAGAAGAGGCTAGAGAATCTGCAAGATTACAAGCAGAACAGGAGACTGAACATTTAAGGTCAGTTATTATTTTATAAATCGAACTCTGTTAATTTTATTTAAATCCAATACATCAATGTAACGATGACTATGAATTTTTTAATTTATTTTTTATATTATAAATTAAAAAATTTAAAAAACTACAGTACAATTATATAGTTGTTTAAATTATTTGTTTTACAAATAAAGACGTTATTTATATTTAGTTTAATTACTATGTTCAAATAATGTCCAACATTCATATGTGGTATGTAAAATATTTATCCTTAACGCAAAATGTTAATAAGTTAGCAGTTATTATAGGTTATAAGTTATAAATTTGTATTTAATCTCGTACAAACCAATTATTGTTAATCTAGTTTCATAAATCAATGTGTATAGTTTGACTGTATACAATTTAGCCTAAAGTGTTGATTACATTTTCTTATTCTATAAGAATTTTCTATTTTAATTATAGCAATAATATATTTTATTATAAATAATATAAAATATACAAAACAATTTTTATAATTTTAATTTTAAATATTTTAAAATTACTCGTATTTAGAATTTCCATATCATTATAGTTGTATATTATATCGGTGAAATTTGAATAACCCTACTAACTTTATTGATAACTTACCTAAAATATGAATAATAATTTCATTATAAAATCTACACCGAAATAACTTATATGACTGGTTTTTACTCTTTAGTTTAGTTTGAGGATTAATTGATTTTAAATATTACAATAATACTCAACAATTATTTTATTGCTGTCGTTAATATACTTAAATTTTTATTTTTTATTTCAATTCCTCTAGATTAAAAGTGGAATCTGAATTAATGGCAATGTTAGAAAGTAAAAATAAGACGCCATTTAATCCACAGGAAAAAAAAATTTTGCCAGGTAATGAAGAGATTTACTGTTCTGTAGAGGATTTGAAAACTAGAAGTACCAGAAAGCCGTGTGTAACAACACAACCAATGCGTGGGGTGTTGAAAGAATTGTCATTCAATAAAGTATTTCATTTTTACTATATTTTATACCTACTAATAAAATAACCTAAGTCTATGAATGGTTTTTATAATTATATTGTATAACATGGGTAATATTCTTATATGACATAGTCTCTAATCGTATTGTGTATGTTTTGTCTCTCTATGTAGTATAATATTATAGTGTGTGTGTGTGTGTGTGTGTGTGTGTGTGTGTGTGTGTGTGTGTG